AGAGAAAATGAAAACATGAAACGACACTCAGCTAAGTAGTATGACTATGCTGTTAATAACAACACTAATATAAACGACACTATAAGCAGCGTTTCAATAACAAAAATTAAGTTTAAATGATGCCGCATAAACACCCTTTTACTTCCTTTCTCAGCACTATTGACTCATGCCCTTGTTTGAACTTTTACCTGCTGGAATCATAAACTTCAACAACTCTTCTCATGACATTCATTCAACTTTGACTAAATTCACTAAATGGCTTTGGTGGAGTAAGGAGGTCTTCAAAAATATATTTCAGAGAAAGAAAAGAATTCTGGCAAGAATTGCGGGCATAGAAAAAGCATTCGAATTATCTAAGCAAGTTGAAGCTAAAGCTGAGGAAGGATTACAAGTTGGCGCAACAACAGGAATAAATATTTTCAAAGCAAAAAGCTAAAGTGGATTGGCTCAATTTTAGGGATAAAACACCAAATATTTCCATCTTAGATTGATTCGAAGAAGGAATAAGGCAAAGATACTTCAACTCAAGGATGGGAATGGTAACTGGCTTAATGGTTAGCACACAATTACGAATCATGCAATTAACTTTTTTAAAAATCTATATTCTAAAGATGTGGAACACCTTCTAGTATATCCAATTAAAAGTCAATTTCCTAGTCTTTCTCATGATGATTATGATTGCTTGATTAAACCAGTATGTGAAAGTAAGGTTCAATATGCATTATTCGAGATGCAACTGCTAAAAGCTCTAGGGATTAATGGATTGAATGCCTTATTTTTCCAGAATCAATGGTGTGTAGTGGGACAAAGTATAGTACGATATGTGTAGGATGTTTTCCAAGGTGGACGAATCGGGGATAAACTATGTCGGTTCCTAATTGTTTTAATTCCCTATGTACCTTCTTTAGAGCTCATATCTCAATATCGACCTATTAGCTTATTATTTGTAATTTTTAAAACTTTAATAAAGGTAATAATTAATAGGTTAAAGCCAATTATGCCACCTTTGATTTTTGATATGTAAGCTAGTTTCATATTAGGAGAGTTAATTATTGATAATATTATTGTAGCCCAAGAAACATTACCCTCATTCTAAAGAAAGAAAGGCAAGTTGGGTTAGATAATGTTGAAAATTAATTTAGAAAAGGCATATGATAAGCTTCAATGGGAGTTTACTTATGACACCCTTATAAATGTAGGGATTCCAACTATGCTTATTAATATTCTAGTTCAAAATTAGGCAAGCACCAAATCTCAAATCCTTTAGAACAACTCTCCACCATTAGTTTTTTTCTTTTTTAAAGGAGTAAAGCGAGGTGACCCGCTCTCCCCATTCTCTTTGTACTATGTATCGAATGATTGTCACATGCAATCAATAGGGCTGTAGAACAAGGTTTATGGAAACTAATCAAACTGGGTTGACAATGCCCTTCTTTGTCCCACTTATTTTTTGTTGATAATCTTATTTAATTTCGAAGGCTTCTGTCTCACAAATGGAGATTATCAAAGGAGTTTTAGACGATTAATGTGCCTACTTAGGCGAACAGGTTAGCATGTTAAATCTATCTTTTGTTGTTCAAATAATGTCTCCTTGAATGTTATTAAGGACCTCAAAGCTCGCTCTGGTTTCCAGTATTTTGACAATATGGTCAAATACCTTAGAGTCCCATTGTTTACAGGAAGGAAATGAGTTGCTACCTTTAAGAACTTGGAGGATAAAGTTTGCAGCTAACTTAATGGTTGGAAAGCAGCTTCACAATCTTTTGCTACGAGACTTACTTTGGTGAAGTTAGTGTTATCCAACATTCCTTATTATGTGATACAGACGACTACAATTCCAATTGAGCATAGTAATAGAAAAAAGTGACCTTGTGGAAATTTTCTT